GCACCCTTTGGTGCTCGGACCCTAAATATTTATTTTCAAGTCTCACTTTCCATTCATACAGTTTTCAGACAGTCTACATTCAAAATTCCAGTGGTAATATAAGATCTGACAGGAAGAAAGTTAGTAGATTTTCACAATAAAGGCCAGAATCTCAGTGGTAGCTTTGAAACTAACTAAACTAATAACAGACACGAAGGTCAGAGGATGATTTAAGAGGCGGCAGGTGTCTCTATTTTAAGCTTTCTTCCAGTTTTAACTCCAGTTTGTTCTTCTGCAGCTCGTCAGCAAACATCCGGTCCAGGTAGAGATATTTTTATCACCAGTTCATCAAAAGTTTCGGCTTAATCTGAGTAGAAACGACAACGCAGCATCCACACGCCGCCTCCGATGTGAGACGTCGGATTAAAAACAAAAATCTACAATTAAAAAAAAGTGAATTAGCCTACAAGTAATCTTCTGCGGTCCAGTATCAGCTCTCCAGGACTGGCAGGAAGGGCAGGTCGGTGCTGCCCAGGTAGGTTCGGCCTCGGTGCTGGAAGACGTCGCTGATGGCCCACGTCAGTCGGCCTTCCGGGTCGTGGAGCGTCGCCACGATGTCGCCGTCCAGACCGAGCTCCAGGACCAGAGCGTAGCGAGGCAGCAGGAGGTTGTACCAGCTCAGAGGGACCACCTGAGGATGCAGAGACCACAGAGAATGACGATTATTCACATTGTGTACTCAACCTGTCAGTTATTTTCTCAATCGATCAATCAGTTGTTTGGTCAGTGTTTCCCGAATTTCTTCCACAGCCCAAAAATCTCCAGTTTACCGTCACAGAGGAGCAAAGAAACCAGAAGATACTCACACTTACCAAGCTGGAAATAAAGAATTCAGACTTGTTTTCTTAAAAATCAATCAATCGATGATCAAAACAGTGATTTTATTTAATAGTGATTCTGATTCTTAGGATTTCTTTCCTCCTCTTTACAAGTGAACTGAATAACTTTCGGTCGTGGACAAAACATTCTTCTTCTTCTAATAACTTTAAATTCTAGTTTTCTTCACCGAGAGTTCAATCAACTGGCGCTGCTTGAACTGGATGAATGTGTTGCAGTGTGTGGGAGTTTCAGTGAGAGGTCCTGATCCTGTCCTGTCAGATTTCACACCATCTGGTCTCAGAGCAGCAAGAACAAAGCTTTGCCTCCCAACAGACTCGGTAGAAATAACTCAGTGCTTCAGGAGGAGCAAATGCATCATGGGAGAGCAGATAAAACTGCACTGCTTTTCTACAGGATCCTACAATGGTGTTTGGGTTTGATCAGCTGGTTTTAGTCGCCTGGTTTCCTTGTTTAGTTCTTGATCAATAAAATTTGAAGAAGTGATGTCGACTGTCGAGTAATTTGATGACATACTATGCTATGACGTTTTTGACAAGTAGCTTTACGACATACTATACTATGA